GTTTACCAAAGACCTTTTGCTAGCCTGGCCCATTCTGCTGCAGGCTACGCAAACACAAAGGACATCTCAGCCCTGCAATTTGTAAACAAGAAGAATCTATGCAATGGAAGCCACCTGGACTGTGCATTTCACTGACAGTCTGCTGATCGATGTTACTGCAAGCATTGGCAGAAAGTATTTCCACTCAAAATACAACACAATGAAAGACAAAGCCCAGGAGGTTGAACTTTGTACAGCTTTACCTTTTGTACGTCATAGTGAAGTCCGCGTATGGCAAACCCTGGAATGTAGTCATACTTCCCAAGCCCTTCTGGATACTAGGAAAACAGACAGCAATATTTTTAAGAGACACAGGCATTGATTATCAACAAAAGCATTTCACCTGCTGAGCTGGCTTAGGCCTACCAGTCCTCTCACCCCAGGCATAAACCAACTGAGGGACACGTGCACTTTGTTTTGCCCTTCAATAAAGAAAAGCAGATGAATGGAGCCCCCAGATTGCTGCTCTCGTTTAAGGGACACTGACAAAACCCCAACCAATCCGTTCAGGCAGTGTGGACTCCCAGTAAGCTCCATTCAGTGTGCACATCTGGCAGAGCAGTGGCACTGCAGGGTCCCTCTAAAAAGGAAGACATGACTGGAAGAAAATGCACAGAGCCTACTGCAAACAGGGGGCCCATTACCAGGCATCCACCCGCATTGATCTGCACTGCCACGTCCTGCACCCCTTCACTGCTGGCCCAGTGCTTATCCATGATGTGTATCACAAAGCTGGAAGTCCGCAGGCATGACTTCCACAGTCAGGAAAAAGACAGCAGTTTATTTCCAGACTGAAGTTCCCAGTCCGTATTTACAAAACCTCAGGAATGTAGAGCTTGGTAAATTGTTCAACAGGAAATTAATTCCAGATACAGACAAAATGTTCTGCAATCAAAGACTGAAATGTGAAATTTATGTTAATAATTAAAACAAAAAACAACAAAAAAAAACCCAACAGTGCCACATGTGCACAGTGCTGCATTTGACAAGCACATCTGAGGCACTGCAAAGATCAGTATGATTAATTGAAGGGAAATCCTTAGTGCACCGTTACCTTGAACTGTTCTATGAGGATGTCTCTGGCAGTGTTGAAAATCATGGAGTGCAGTAAGTTAGAATACTGTGCTAACGTGTAGTCGTAGTCAAAGCCATATATCTCAACATCTCCCAGGCTGATCTCGTTGTTGGCATAGATAGCTGCTGGGTTGAGGAGATTGCAGACTCCTGGTGGAAGGAGATCTGAGAGAGAAGAGAAGGGGGCAGAGATTACAGAAACCGAGAGGACCACCACCATTTCAAGTCTTCTGCCAGCCTACACAGAGCAAAGCAGGCCTGCTGGTCTGAAGCAGCAGATGTGCAGCCCAGCACAGCTCACCGACCAGCAGGGCTGCAGAGCACAGCAGGGAAGCACACAGCCCTCCCTTCCTGAGCAAGGTGAGCAGGAGAGCTCCCCTCCTCAGAGTGCCTGCATCACCCCAATGACTTGTGGGCATTTGTTCCCCACAGAGGCTGGCAGCCCCCACAGAGCAGCCTTTCAGACACCCTCAGGCATCTTTATTTCCTTTTTTAGGAGCAGAACGGAACACAGCTGTGTACGAGCACCAACTATGCACGTAAAGACACACATTTATATAAACAACAAACAAACAAACAGCCTAAAACAAAACAAACACCAAACACCCCACGCTCTGGGAGCGCGTCACGCTGATAGCAAGAAGTAATCTGCGCTCTGCTGATAAACAGCTGTGGGAACAGGTCAGCTGCTGCGGTTTGTCACTCCAGAACAGGGCTGCTGCTTGTGAGAGCCCAGCAGAGCCAGGAGCAGGCCCTGCCCATGCTTCCCACTCCATGAGAGCTGCTCTTTGCAAGATAAGAAAGAGCAGTAGGACTCGCTCCCTACAGCAGGATCCCTCATCACATCCACACTGAGGAACGGAGAGGAAGGAGACATTTCCCGCCACACGAGGACAGGTAATGTTCTCTTGGAACGATGGCAAAAGCACTGATGTTTTCCTGATCCCACCCAGCATCAGCAGGCAGCGCTTTTTTCCCCTTCCTACCTTATCTTATGGCTTTTAGCAAGAACCCATGTCAGTTCCTTAAGACTTTCTCGCTATCTCATCTGAATCTATTATCAGAGTGCCATCAGCCATTCTCAGTTAAGACTTTGCCTGGAACAATTAGAGAATTTACAAAGGGTGTTTTCGGTGAATGCCCCCATTTGCAGGTGTCAACCTAAAGAAGCAGCACAGACCTGCTTTCCTCTCCTAAAGGGAGGAGAATTGTAACAGCCAACGCACCCTGCTGCAGCTGCCATATCCCTACAGAGACCAACACTCACCGTTCAGGATGCTTGGGACAACACGTTCTGACAGTCCGAGCAGCACGATGCTCCTTTTATAGGAGAAGTGAGGCTTGCTTAGATTTAAAAATAAATAAATAAAGCCAGCTGCAAAAATGCAGCCAATAAAAGGCACGGGAGCTGGTGTGATTTTGTAAGGCAAGGGGATGAAGGCAGGTCAGAAGCAGAGCAGTGGCTGTGCCACGCCACGCTGAGAGCAGGGGCAGTGCTGCATGGCTGCCCACTCCCCCACACAGCTCTCCTCCTCTCAGACATTTTGTCCCCAGCTTACACAGCGCGTTCCCTCCGGCCTCCTAAAGGCCAAAGGAAGATGTGTATGCCAGCCAAAATGCTTTCTCATCATTGCCTCACAAGTGGCACGCTCCTTACAGACGCTCCCCTCCTTGCTGTGCTTTCTGTCACTGCTGCTACCAACACAAACCCACGGCCTCCCATCCCCACTGCCACCCACTGCCTCGAACTCATGGCAGTCTCCAAGTCCCTGAGGAGAAAGAAGAGCTGCTGCTGCTGCTCGGCTGGCACAGCATCAACACCGACGTGCAGCATCCTGCAGAGACTGCATCCACAGCACTGCTGCTGCACCGCTGCTCCTACCAGCCGAGCAGAGCCCAGCGCGGATGCCTCTTCAACAAGAAAAGCAGCTTTTGCTTTTTGCTCTGCAAAGAGGGGTTGCTGGGCAGGTTGAATAAGATACAGCAAGAAAAAAAAAAAAAATTAAAATCAAAACTAGCTTTAGTTGTCAAAACTGAGCTATGATCCAAACTTCTCTGTCCAAGCACTCATCAGGAAGGAGGCAGCAGTGCTAATTCAGCACTGCACCCGGGAAGTGTGAGCAAAGGGAGAACTGTGTGACCACCCAACTCAGTGCTTCTGAGCCACACTCATCACACAGAGGTAAGAAGTTGGAAGTTCTTCCAAAAGTTCCCCCAGAAGTATCTATTGTAGCTACGTGCACTAGGGAGCAAACATTGAACATTCACATTTCCTTACAGCCAAACCTTCACTTGTTTTCCAGATCCGCTGTGTTTCAGGATTGTGCATTTCCTAGACTGCAGGATTCTGGAGACTCGTTAGGAACAGTGCCTTATCAGCCTTCCTCCACACCTCAGATACACAAACACTGACAGCCCTGCTCAGCACGGCCCCTCCGACACACACCTGTGCCCGTCCTTGGGCAGAGGGGAGAAGGCAGCACATGAAGCAGAGGATGTATTCCTTATGGGTGATGCTCACGGCACAGCCACAGCCGTTTGCTTTAACACCACTCTTACAGAGAACAAAGGCCCAACTCAGTCCCGTTGTCCCACCAGCAACAAAAACCAAGGTGGGCCAATTGTGCCTCCTCTCCAACCCTCACCCATCCCCATTTCGCACCCAGCTCTGGAGGTAACGCTGTGCTGGGACCAGGAGCACACATCCTGCGGCCAACTCCTCTTCCGAAGCTCACCGAGGGCTTCACGCTTTATGCCAGAGCCGGGGGAGGCGGCAGTGACAGAAGCTGCCCATCTCAGAACCGCAAAACGGCTCTTCCAGACCCTCCGACTGCTTTTGTTTATCTAAGGGCTGGAGAAGGAAAGCGAACAGAGAGCTATTCAACGGCAAAGGGACGCTTCCTAGCTGTCCACGCTGCTTCCCTTCGGAACTCCAGGAGCCGAAAAATCTGCAGGAAAAAAGTTCCCTGCCCTTACGGCGCACAAGTTATTGTTTCACGTTATTACGGATCTTAACGCAGCTGAGATCCACCCGCCGCAGCCCCAAAGCCCACGGTCCCGTTGTGCACACAGGCACATGGGGCAAAAAGAACGGCTTTCCTCCCGGCCGGGACAGAGCAACGGACCCCGCGGGAGGGGGCGGACAGAGCGCACGGCCACGTTCC